GAACTACTAAAAATTAATATAAAAGCTGAAAAGATAAAAGCTAAAGTTAGCCGACAATATTTAAAAAGTGGCTTAAATTCCAGAAGATAGCTAAAATAAGCATGAAAAGTTTAAATTAGAAAAAACTGAAAGAACCACTAAAAATTAATATAAAAGCTGAAAAGATAAAAGCTAAAGTTAGCCGACAATATTTAAAAAGTGGCTTAAATTCCAGAAGATAGCTAAAATAAGCATGAAAAGTTTAAATTAGAAAAAACTGAAAGAACCACTAAAAATTAATAGAATAGTTGAAAAGAAAAAAGCTAAAGTTAGCCGACAATATTTAAAAAGTGGCTTAAATTCCAGAAGATAGCTAAAATAAGCATGAAAAGTTTAAATTAGAAAAAACTGAAAGAACCACTAAAAATTAATAGAATAGTTGAAAAGAAAAAAGCTAAAGTTAGCTGAAAATTGCTAAAAAGTGGCTTAAATTGCAGAAGATAGCTAAAATAAGCATGACAAAATATTAGAAAGAAGCTGATAGAACCACAAACAAATTTAATTAGCAGAATTGCTGAAAAAAGCTAAAATTAAATAGAAATAGCTGAAAAGTAGCTTTAATAGCAGAAAACAGGTGAAAGAAGCATAAAAAGCTATTATTAGCAGAAAGAAGCCGATAGAAACAAAAGAATTCATTAGCTGAAAACAACAGAGAAAAATTAGCTGAAGGAAGCTAAAAAGTATAAATGGCTGAAGAACCAAAGTAATATCCAGAATGTTGATGTTGTGAAGCAGCTGAAAGTTGAAATAAAACAAAGTGCGTAACGAGACGTGTGGGCGGAGTCTTTGAATTTGGACGCAGCCCTCCTCCTCCCTCTCTCCTCCACTTCCTGTCTTTTGTCGTTGCCCCTCCTCATTAACGAGCAGTGATCTTTGTGGTGGTCTCAGCTCTGCAGTCCGGCGGGGTCTCTGGTTGCTCCGATGAGTTCAAGACGCTGATGTCGGTGCCGACAGCTGGAGCTCTGCAGCTGAAGAAGCACCTGACACAGAGCAGCCAATCAGGTGCAGGCTTACAGAGAAGTTACTGCTTTTCTTTGGATAAAAACTATAAAAGCCTCAGTTATTTGAAATGTTCTGTTTGTCTCAGACCCGGTTCTGAGTTCTAATCCTGTTGGGTTCTTAGTCCAGAAAGATGAAACCGGAGCTCCGCTTCAGTCCATCTCAGCCTCTGACCTCCTGAAGCAGCAGAGACAGAAGCAGCGGGAGCTTTTACAGAGTCGACGGCACAGAGCAGAGGAGAGGGGGGTCCAAAACCCGAGTGGAACCCGACCCAACTCAGGTCGAGGCGGTTTATCCTCTCCAAAATCCCCAAACCAGGTCCCCAAGCTGAGCCGGAGCCCGGAGGAGTCCCACCCCCCGACCCTGGGCCGAGGGTTCTCCGAGGGAGACGACATCCTCTTCTTTGACAACGCCCCGCCTCTAGCCCCGCCTCCAAAAGCTCCCACGCTGTCAGCCGCCAAGTTGGCCGCCCTGAAGAGGCTGAGGGCCAAAGGGACGGGRCTCGAGAAGGAAGACCCCAACGCCGTGAAGAGGAAGAGGAGCAACAGCGGCGAGATCAGCGCCCGAGTGGAGAAGAACCGAACCTCTCCAAACGGTTTGTTTACGTTTTATTACAGGAAGTTCAGATTAAATTAATCTTTTTATGACAGGAAGTTCAGATTAACTTCATCTTTTTATGACAGGAAGTTCAGATTAAATTAATCTTTTTATGACAGGAAGTTCAGATTAAATTCTTTGAAGCTGTTTTAACATCTAAACTCTGAGTTCTGAGGGTTCACCTTTATTCAGTCTTTAGCAGGTCCTTAAAATGTAACTTTTGTGTGTTGAAGAGACAGTTTACCTAAATGTAGCTAAGAGCTAGCAAAAGGTGATGCAAATAGCAAAAGAGGTTAAAGCAGCAAAAAGATAGCTAAAAGCCAAGTGTAGGAAATGCTAACTTAAAATAAAATGTAGCAAAAGGTTGGCTGAAAGTAACTAAGGGCTAGCTGAAAGTAGCAGAAGGTTAACTTGAACTGAAAGAAGCAAATGCTAAAAGTAGCAAAAGAATAGCTAAAAGTCAAGTGTAGAAAATGCTGGCTAAAACCAAACAAACATTAGCTAAAAGTAACTAAGCGTTAGCTAAAAGTTGCAGAAGGCCACGATGAACCTAAAAGAAGCAAAAGCTAAACATATCAAAAGTAGTTAAAGCAGCAAAAGGATAGCTTAAAGCTAAATGTAGTAAATTACAAAAGTAGCAACTAATTTCCTACAAGTAACTAAGGGCTAGCTAAAAGTAGCAGGAGGCTAGCTTGAACCTAAAATAAACAATTTCTAAGGTTAGAAAAATGTAGGAAAATGCCAGCTAAAAACCAAAAGATTGGCTACAAATAACTAAGAGCTAGCTAAAAAGAATAAAAGACTAGCTTGAACCCAAAAGGAGCAAAGGTAAAAGCAGCAGAACTTAAAATAATGAACTCATTGATGGACCGAACTGAAGTCACCTCTGGGCTGGATGTGGCCCGCGGACCTCCAGTTTGATTACCTTACTGTAGACAATGAAGCAATGAAGGAGTTAAAAGTAGGAAAATGCTAACTGAAATTATTTAAAAGGCTGGCTAACAGCTAAAAACAACAGTAGCTAGTTAAATAGTAAGTAAAAGGAAAAGAATCCCGCCAACACTTCAGTCCCATGGTCTTCCTCAGAGCTCAGAGGGAAGTCGGTCTAATCTCTGGCGTTTGATGATGTAATAATCTGATCTGTCTCCTGAGCAGGAGAACCCTCCGGTACCGAGGAGGAGCCGGCCCAGAAGAAGAAACGAGACCAGCTCCTCTACGTCCAATCAGAGGAGTTCCAGAAGATCCTCAACGCCAAGTCCCGACACGGGGTGGTCCTGCAGGCGGTACGGGTATTTTCAAAGCCGCCGACTCTGCCCACAGAGCCGCTGACCCGAGCGTAAGAACCCTTTGTGTTTCGCCCGTTTGTCAGGCCGAGTACCAGCTGCAGGAGCGCTACTTCGACGCCCTGGTGCAGAAGGAGCAGCTGGAGGAGAAGATGAGGGGCATCAGGGAGATGAAGTGTCGCGCCGTGTCCTGTAAGAAGGTAGGACAGGAAACAAGACTGAATGTTTAGCAGAACCTGCAGGTAGACCGGGCCTCACCTGTACCGCCGCTGCTGCTGCTGCTGCTTCCAGTGTAACTACACCTACTTCAAGCCGGCGGATCGCTGCGTCGCCCAGAACCACGAGCTGCGCTGGCACGACGCCGTCAAACGCTTCTTCAGGTGTTCCTGCGGGCAGAGGGCCATCGCTCTGGACAGACTGCCGCACAAACACTGCAGGTGAGCTGAGAGGCGTCTGATCTGAGCTCTGCATGGTTTTATTCAACATTTCAAATGATTTCATCCTTTGAATGATTTCAGTAACTGTGGCCAGTTTAAATGGGAGCGTGACGGCATGCTGAAAGTAAGATAAACTCCTTTTTTTTTAAGTTTTGACTTTTCAGACGAACCAAACCTGGTTTATTTATTTATTAATTCTTTCAGGAAAAACTGGGACCGAAGATCGGAGGAGAACTCCTCCAGACCCGAGGAGAGGAACACGCCAAGTTCCTGAACAGCATGAAGTGACTTTTTTTAATTTAAGAAAAAAAAACATTTTAAAGTGAACTAAATAATGTTTTTAAAGTTTTTTT